ATTATTCTATGTTATCAGGTGTTGCTTGTGAAAAGTCCGTTTTTCTGCTAATCATGCAAACCTCTGATTAGCAGCATAGTCCCATCTAAATTCTAAATTCTAAAAGGGATGGAGCACTTAACTCAGTGGTTCTCAACCTGTGGGTCCCCAGATGTTTTGGCCTTCAACTCCCAGAAATCCTAACAGCTGGTAAACTAGCTGGGATTTCTGGGAGTTGTAGGCCAAAACACCTGGGGACCAAAAGGTTGAGAACCACTGACTCTTCCTCAGAGTGCTCTGATGTGTTGTTTGCTCCTCCTGCTATAGTGGGCGGGATTCACCATGGATTGTGGTGAATCCGGTGTGGGGAATCCATAGCCTTGCACATTGCGTTGCCTGCATTGTCCCTTACCTCATCCCTTTGGGGGAAGCACCACTATCCGGCTTCCTCCCATGTTGCTGGCACTGCCTCCTGCAACACTTGGACCTCACTTCAGTCATGGAGCCCTCTTGAAGTAGATTGATGTTATGTGATGGGATCCAGCGGGCTCTGTGTCTGAAGAGAGATCCAAGTGTTGTAGGATGGGCAACTTTGCCCGTCTGATGAGGTCCTAAGACAGGCTGGGAGGGGAGCTAATCTCCAAATCCAACACTAGCCCCTCTTACAACCCCTTGTCTTTACTGTCAGCTGTCCAGAAGAGCTTCTTTGGAGCATGGTATTTACTGTAGTGGTTCCTAGAATTTGGAATATTCTTTGTTCTGGTATTAGGCATGATAAAACAAACAAACAAACCCTAAATTGTAGGCCCATGATGATGACAAGGTTATTTCTGCAAGCCTCGTAAAGACAAAGCTGTAGTTTAGTCTATGGTATGTTTTACCAAGACTGTAGATATTGTATATCATTTTATGTATTACTAGCTGTACCCACCATGCATTGCTGTGGCCAACCTTATCTCCCTCTTTCTCTCCTTCCTTTGCTCTTTTTCTTTCTCTATTTTTCTTCTTTCTTCCATCTCTACTTGTTTCTTTCCTCTCTTTCTTTGCTCTTTGGTTACATCCTTCCTTCTCTCCTTCCTTCCTTCCTTCCTTCCTTCCTTCCTTCCTTCCTTCCTTCCTTCCTTCCTTCCTTATCTTTTGTTCCTTCCCTCTCTTTTTCCTTTCATTTTTTTATTTCCTTCTTTCCTTCCTTGCTTCTCTACCTTTCTTTCCTTCCTTCTTTCCCTCCCTCCTTCTTCCTCCCTCCCTCCTTTCCTCCATTCCTTCTCTCTTTCCCTCCTTCTCTCATTACTTCTTGACTGTCCCTTCCATTTAATATTGTATTTATATCTTACATAGAAAGAAGGAAAGGAAGAAGGAAGGAAGGCGGGACAGGAAGGAAGGAAGGAAAAAGGAAGGGAGGAAGGAAGGAAGGCGAAGGAAGGAAGAAGGAAGGAAGGTGGGAAAGGAAGGAGAAGGAAATAAAGGGAAAGGAGGAGGAAAGGAAGGGAGAGAGGGAGGAAAAGAAGGAAAGGAAGAAGGAAGGAGGGACAAGAAGGAAGGGAAGGAGGGAAAGAAGGAAAGGAAGGAGAAGGAAGGAAGAAAATGAAAGAAATGGAGGGAGGAAGGAGAGGGAGGAAAGAAGCGAAGGGAGTGAGAGAGAGAAAGAAAGTCAAGCACAGTTGACCTTCCTCACCTCCTCCTCCTCCTCCCCTTCCTCCTTACCTGGGGGCTCCACTGCTGCCACTGCCACTCATCCGCCCCCTTCTCTTCCTTTCTAGGGAAAGGAGGAGGAGGAGACCGCCCTCCTGACATAGCAGGGAAAGAGAAGGGGCTCCATGCGGCAAGCCTCCAACTCCACTCCCATGGTGCCCACTCTCGCTTGTGTGTGTGTGTGTGGCCGTGCACGCGGGCCTGGCTCCTCATGCTTTAACGGCCGGCTATTTCCCTGTGAGGAGGAGGGGGCATGGCCATGGGTCTCTTTCTGGGTATGCAGTTTCTCCTTTGCGGACATGCAGTTTAGAAGTCCTTTCTGCTTTTTGTTTTTGTTGGTTTTTTTTGAGTGAAGGACATACATTGGCCTGATAGCTGTATTGTGTCCAAATTTTGTGCCAGTTCCCAATATAAATAAAAACATTACATTTTTATTTATATAGATTTTATAGTTGTATATTGGTTGTACAGCATTCTGAAATCATTATATGTAAGTGGGATATAAATAATTGTAAACAAACACAATTACGTCTGTAGTCTTGTTGGATCTTGTAGATGTTTCCTAGTTTTTGTTGTGAGCAGAACTCTGAAGTGAAACCCAGCAATGTGAACTCTGACCGGAAACAGGAAGCTAGAGAAGCTTTTAAAAACCTAATATACATTCTGAACAATTTGTACAAAGGCAAGAAAGAGAGAGGACCAAAGAAAAATGTAGCTCAAAGTTTGCTCATGAATCAGATGGGATAGATCGCTTTCTCCTTATGAGAACATTCCCAAACCTGACATGGTATCTATGCCACATTAAGTGAGTGCTGACAGGTCCCTGAACAGATTCTTTCCATGAGTAATTAGCCTTTCCAGAAGCATGAATGGGCTAGTTTCCAATCAGGAGAGTAAATTTTAGCTGACAAATTAGACAGGCTCCCTAAGGCAAAGTAATGCAACTTTGCCATCCACACTTAAAAACATGATTTATAATGCATTTCTATTTTCTGGGCACTCCTTTTCTCAGGAATGAAGTCTGTACTGTATTTAGAAATGATCATATAGTCTTTCATGTCCCTTTGTTTGGTTCTTAACAACATTTAATAACTTTAAAAAAAACCAAATTTTGACATACTTTATTCTAGTATATCTACTAATCACTAGTAAATATTGTCATCCCACTATTAACCCCAATTCCAGGTGATCTTCTGCAGTTTAGCAGATGTTTCTAAATCCTGAACAACTAATTGATAAATTGGATATTCTTTTTAGATCTAATTGCTCTTCCTTGGATATATTTATAGTTAATATTGTTGATTTAGTGTAATTCATTTTCCATTCTTTATATATCTGAAACTTTCCTAAAAATTAATAGCAGCTGTCCTGCAATTGTTTTGGATTTGATAAGCATAATAAAACATGCAAATGAATTCACTTTATGCTAAATATTTTTAATGTTATACCTTGAATTTCATTATTTTTCCTTATTAAATCTACTAAGAGTCCTATTACTAGAACAAAAAAGAGATAGTAGGCACCCTGGGTTGTTGTAGGTTTTTTCGGGCTATAAAACCATGTTCTAGAGACATTTCTCCTGACGTTTCACCAACATCTATGGCAAACATCCTCAGAGGTAGTGAGGTATGTTGGAACTAGGAAAAAGGGTTTATATATCTGTGGAATGACCAGGGTGAAACAAAGGACTCTTGTCTGCTGGAGCTAGGTGTGAATGTTTCAACTGACTACCTTGATTAGCATTTGATTGCCTGGCAGTGCCTGGAGCAATCTTTTGTTGAGAGGTGATTAGATGTCCTTGTTTGTTTCCTCTCTGTTGTGCTGTTCTAATTTTAGAGTTTTTTTAATACTGGTAGCCAGATTTTGTTCATTTTCATGGATTCCTCCTTTCTGTTGAAATTGTCCACATGTTTGTGGATTTCAATGGCTTCTCTGTGTAGTCTGATATGGTGGTTGTTGTAGTGATCCAGCATTTCTGTGTTCTTGAATAATATGCTGTGTCCAGATTGTTCAACAATAGAATTGAACCAAACTTGGCACACAGAATTCCCATGACCAACTGAAAATACTGGAAGGGTTTGGTGGGCATTAACCTTGAGTTTTGGAGTTGTAGTTTATCTACATCCAGAGAGCACTGTGGACTCAAACATTGATGGATCTGGACCAAACGAATACTCAATATGCCCAAATGTGAAAACTGGTGGAGTTTGGGAAAATAGACTTGACATTTGGGAGTTGTAGTTGCTGAGATTTATAGTTCATCTAAAACCAAGGAGCATTCTGAACGCCATCAACAATAGAATTGGGCCAAACTTCCCACACAAAACCCACATGACTAATAGAAAATATGGTTTTTTTAAAATGTCTTTGGTGACCCCTCTAAAACCCCCTCGTGACCCCCCCCCAGGGGTCCTGACCCCCAGGATGAGAAACATTGGCATAGAGCAGCCTTTCTCAACCTGGGGGTTGGGACCCCTGGAGGGATCGTGAGGGATGTCAAAGGGTCGCCAATGACCATCAGAAAACACAGTATTTTTTGTTGGTCATAGAGGTTCTGTGTGGGAAATTTGGCCCAATTCTATCGTTGGTGTGATTCAGAATGCTCTGATTGTAGGTGAACTATAAATCCCAGCAACTACAACCCCAAATGTCAAGGGCTATCCCCCCCCCCCCCCAAACTTCACCAGTGTTCACATTTGGGCATATTGAGTATTTGTGCCAAATTTGGTCCTGATCCATCATTGTTTGAGTCCACAGTGGATGTAGGTGAACTACAACTTCAAAACTCAAGGTCAATGCCGACCAAACCCTTCCAATATTTTCTCTTCGTCATTGGAGTTTTGTGTGCCAAGATTGGTTCAATTTCATTGTTGGTGGAGTTCAGAATGCCCTTTGTTTGTAGGTTAACTATAAATCCCACCAACTACAACTCTCAAATGAAAACATCTAATCCCAGCCCCAACCCCAGCCCCACCAGTATTCAAATTTGGGTGTATTGGATATTTGTGCCAAATGTGGTCCAGTGAATGAAAATACATCCTGCATTTCAGATATTTACATTACTATTCAGTAGCAAAATTACAGTTGTGAAGTAGCAATGAAAATAATTTTATGGTTGGGGGTCACCACGACAAGAGGAACTGTATTAAGGGGTCGTGGCATTAGGAAGGTTGAGAACCCCCCTGGCATAGAGTAAGAAGCGCCAGGGAATGCCTGCCCTCTGGAATAGAGTAGGAGAGGGTGAGGGAAGGCCAGGCCCGCTCAGCAAGGGCCCAAGGCTCAACCCAGGCTCCATTTCCGCCAATCGCCCTCTCAGGGGCGGAGCCAAGCCGAGACCACGCTGAGCCGGGGCCTGGCGCGCGATGGCGTCGGCGGAGGAAGCACTGGCGGCCCTGGTGGCGGAGCTAAGCGCTCTGGAGGCGCAGGCCGCCTCGCTCCCTTGTTGCTTGGCAACCGTGAGGCAAATGACGGCCCTCTTCCGGGACGCCGCGCCCAGGTGAGGAGGGGGAGGGGAAAAGGGGGGCGCGCGCCTCGCGAAGCCAGGGAGGCCCAAGGCGAGCGGCGGAAGACCTCGCAGAGTTATTCCACTGATATGAACACACACGTGATATATATATACACACACGTGACTTGGCGCGAGGCAGGTTAAGCAGCCCGCCTTCATCCGCGCGCTCTGGTTAGAAGGGCGCGTGGACACTGGAGGATGAGGGCCGCAGAGGGATGGATGGTTTTGTGAAACCACAACTCCCATGGTTCCATAACATTGAGTCAGGGCACTTAAAGTGCCAACCTCCTCTTATTCTACAGTGCCATGTAGGCTGTTAGGAATTGGGTTGTTGTAGGTTTTTTCAGGCTATATGGCCATGTTCTAGAGGCATTCTCTCCTGACGTTTCAGCTACATCTCTGGCAAGCATCCTCAGAGGTAGTGAGGATGCTTGCCATAGATGCAGGCGAAACATCAGGAGGGAATGCCTTTAGAACAGGGGTCCTCAAACATTTTAAACAAAGGGCCAGGTCACAGTCCCTCAAACTGTTGGAGGGTCGGATTATAATTTGAAAAAAACATGAATGAATTCCTATGCACACTGCACATATCTTATTTGTAGTGCAAAAAACACTTAAAAACAATACAATAATTAAAACGAAAAACATTTTAAACAAATATAAACTTATTAGTATTGCAATGGGAAGTGTGGGCCTGCTTTTGACTGATGAGATAGGATTGTTGTTGGTGTGTGCTTTCAAGTCATTTCATACTTAGGTTGAACCTGAGCGAGGGCCGGGTAAATGACCTTGGAGGGCTGTATCTGGCCCCCGGGCCTTAGGTTGAGGACCTCTGCTCTAGAACATGGCCATATAGAAACACTGCCTGAATATCAAGAAAAAAGTGGGCGCTAGAAATAATATACGAAAGCTGACTGGCACAACCTGGGGATCACAACCAGACACAGTGAAGACATCTGCTCTTGTGCTATGCTACTCTGCTGTTGAGTATGCATGCCCAGTGTGGAACACAACTCACCACACTAAAACAGTAGCTGTGGCTCTTAATGAGACATGCCGCATTATCACGGTGTACCTGCGTCCTACACCACTGGAGAAATTACACTGTTTAGTCGGTATTGCACCACCTGACATCTGCCGGGAAGTAGCGGCCAATAGTGAAAGGACCAAGGCAGTGACATCTCCAGCTCATCCCATGTTTGGATATCAGCCAGCACGTCAACGACTTAAATCACGAAATAGTTTTCTTAGATCTACAGAGACACTCGCTGGAACACCTCAGCAAGTGAGAGTCCAAAAGTGGGAGGCTCAAACCCAGAACTTCAATCAGTGGCTGATACCAAATGGGAGCCTCCCCCCTGGGCACACAGAAGACTGGGTGACTTGGAAGGCGCTGAACAGACTGCGCTCTGGCACTACGAGATGCAGAGCCAACCTTAAGAAATGGGGCTACAAAGTGGAATCCATGACATGGGAGTGTGGAGAAGAGCAAACTACAGACCACCTGTTGCAATGCAACCTGAGTCCTGCCACATGCACAATGGAGGGCCTTATAGTAACACCAGAGGCACTCCAAGTGGCCAGCTACTGGTCAAAGGACATGTAATCTAGAGGCATTCTCTCTTGACGTTTAGCTTGCATCTATGGCTTGCAAACTTTGTGGTTTGTTTATTTGTTTGTTAAAAAATGCAATGCAACTGTTATTCTGCCCCTGACACAATAAATAAATGGCCATATAGCCTGAAAAAACCTACAACAACTCAGTGATTACGGCCATGAAAGCCTTCGACAATACACTGTTAGGAATTGTTGAAGTCCAAAAAACCTGGAGGGCCGAACTTTGCCCATGTCTGGTATAGACAGAGGGCCCTTCCAAATAGCCATATAACCCAGGGTAATAGTATGATACCTGGGTCCGGGAGCTCCCGAGCATTACGGAGATGCCGCATCGGTCCTTCAGGAGCGCAGTTTGCGCAAGAGAGACTTAGCTAATGTAAGCCAGGCCGGAGACAGATTATATAGAAGGAATGTAAGAGTTCTTTAATGGTGAAACCCTAACCCTGAACCGTACCATAAGCTTAAGCCTAAACCCTTACCCAAACCCTTAAGCTAACCCAAACCTTTACCCTAACCCTCACCCTAACCCTTGTTGTTGTTCATTAGTTCAGTCGCTTCTGACTCCTCGTGACCTCATGGACCAACCCACGGCAGAGCTCCCTGTTGGCCATCACCACCCCCAGCTCCTTCAGAGTCAAGCCAGTCACTTCAAGGATACCATCCATCCATCTTGCCCTTGGTCGGCCCCTCTTCCTTTTTCCTTCCATTTTCCCCAGCATCATTGTCTTCTCTAAACTTTCCTGTCTTCTCATGATGTGGCCAAAGTACTTCATCTTTGCCTCTAATGTTCTTCCCTCCAATGAGCAGTTGGGCTTTATTTCCTGGAGTATGGACTGGTTGGATCTTCTCGCTGTCCAAGGCACTCTCAGAATTTTCCTCCAACACCACAATTCACAAGTGTTTGTCTTCCTTCACTCAGCCTTCCTTAAGTCCAGCTCTACCTTGCAGAATCTTGAGCATTACCTTACTGGCATTGTGCAAGGCGACTCAATGCTAATCAAGCCGACCAATTGCAACATTCACACTTGCTTCAAACAGACAAGAGTTCTTTCTCCCACCCTGAATGTTTCATAGAGATATATACACATCTCACTCGCCTCATTTCCAACAGACCTCTGGACAAACCTCCTGAGGATAGCTGCCATAGTTGCGGGTGAAACGTCAGGAGAGAATGCTCCTGGAACGTGGCCATACATCCCGAAAAACTCACAGCAACCCATCTTGGCCTGAGCTTCATGCTACCAGCTTCAGCTTGCTCTTGTTTTCCTCGATCTGTATATAGGGCTCGCAAGACTCTTGAAATGCATGGCTTTCCTCCTCTTTGCATTTTGCAGTCATCAGTTACGTGTCAGAAGTCATGTTTACAGGGGGGCAAGTAGGCTAATATCTAGAAGCGAGCTATTCCCACGATCATGGAGGTTGTCCATACACTCAATTTAGTTTCAAAAGCGCAAGCAGGAGCCAGTACTGTAATTGGTTCCCTGAATTCAAAAGAAGATTACATTTATTTGACTTGGGATGCCAGTTGTCTCATCTTGAATGACAAACTGCTACTGAAACAGAGAGGAAATTAAAAACAAATTATTATTATTATGTTTATTATGATGTTTATTTATACACCCTTTTTTCTCTCCACAAAGGAGACCTAAAGCAGCTTACATGAAAAATATTTCAATGCAATTTAAAATATACATTAAAATAAAATTAAATATTGAGAGTATTGAAAAATTCACAGTTAAAATCCACAAAAACTTATTTAAAACAGATATTGTTATGCTCTTAGGTCCAATTTTTTTGGAAAAGAAAACCAAGTTCTACCTGATGAGCACAAACTTGTTTCGGAGTATGCAGGTCTTTGGGCCCTGTGTGCTTTGGGGGAACCCACCTAATACCTGTGGTGGTATAATGACTTGATGTTGGACTTGGGAAGAACAGAGTTCCATGAAAGCCCACTGGGGCACCTTGGGCAAGTTACATTCTCTCAACCTCTGGAAAGTAAGGCCAAATTTGCTCTGAACAAATCTTGCCAACAAAACCCTGTGATGGCTGGTTTAGGGTTGTCATGAACCAGAAATGACTTAAAGGTGCCATCCATCAGCTCCACCCCAACCAGCATAGTAAATAGTTTCAGGAGCTTGCCTGTACAGTGGAACTTCAACTTAAGAGCACCCCAACATAAGAGTATTTTGAGTTAAGAGCTGTTGCTTGGTGTGGGTTTCACTTTGACATAAGACTAACATTTTGCGTTAAGAGCTAGCACCAGAGGGAGTGCTAACGTGAGAGTACAGGGCTTTAAGGTTTCAAGAGAGCACCCTCTATGTCTTGTGCTCTTGTCCACTTTGGGAGATTGCTATCCGCTTTGCTCTTGTCTGCTTTGAGGAATTTTGGGTTAGTTGGTTTTGTGTGTGTTTTTTGGCTTCATGAAGAGAGAGGGGGCCGAGAACGCAAGAGAGGGAGGCTGAGTATGAGTATGAAGAAAATGATGTTTCTGTCTCTTCACTTGGTGTTTTGTACTTCCTTGCCACAACATTGTGCTTCTACCATTGTGTTACCACTTTGTGCTTCTACCATTTTAAAGTTGATCTTTTTTATTGTTCCATGTAAATGTGCATTATTTGTTATTTGTAAATTATGTTTTCTTATTTAAAACATATAACTTTAAAAAAAGGGGGGGGGGGTGTTCAGGGGCCCAGAACAGATTAGTAGCATTTCAGTGACTGGGCAATTTTGCTTTGAGATAGGAGTGTTTTGAGTTAAGAGCTTGGTCACGAAACAAATTAAACTCTTAAATCAAGGTATCGCTATATTAATATGTGCCAAATGTAATGTTACAGCTTTGACCCCTGTGATTCTAAGCATGCTTAAATATTGAGTGGAAATATTCTGTGCTGTTGACTTTGATCATTATTGCATCAAAGTGGAAATAGCAGCCTGTAATTTTCATGCTAATATCCAGAAATATTTCTCAAAACAAGTGGTGCAGAAAAACAAATTAAATGAGCATAAAATTAATGCCAAAGACAGCCTCTGATCTTGAGATTCTGTTGGCTGTCCAACATACTTTATGGCTCATTTAATAATAATTTTGTAACATTTGGTTTTTTCATGTTCCAAGAGTATTTGGCTAAAAATCTTGGAATAATTTCCTTCAAGCAAGGTACTTGATTCTAGCTGAGGGCATATCTACACTGACCATTTAATGCAGTTTGAAGGCAGCTTGACAGTGTTATACAATGCATGCCACAAATGTGTGCTGCAGCAGGATTTAAGACCTTTAAACTGGGATGAGCCAGGTAGAGGAATATCTCATAACGCACATCACTGCGCTCTAGTATAAACCATATTGCATGGTAGAAGTGCCTCTGCAGAATTTGAATTTTTGTGCGGATATCCACAGTGCCGCACTGATTCACACATGCTCATTCTGTTTGGGAGAGTTGAAAAATGTATTCTTATGACTCTCAATTGGTTGATCTAGGAACCGGTTTGAGACCAAACCTGTGCAGGGTGTGTAAGCACCGTCCGGGCCTTGAACCAGTTTCTGGACTTCCAATGCAATCATCAGCACACCGAAACATCTTCCTTCGATGCTGGATTCACACTGACCTATGATATGGGGATATACCCTAAATTTCATTAATGATGTTATAGCATCAGAAGTAATAATGGAAAAGGACAAATGTTACATGAAACTTCTTATACATGATGGAAATATTTTAAAGAAAGAAAATCTGATAAGTGGTGTAAGATTTCTATGTGTTTGTTGGAGCTTGTGAAGAGAAGAGAAATGTTTCTACCACTGGACAATATGGAGAATGCCTTATGCTTGGTCATTATGCACATTCCTCAAATGATAGTACAGCAGACAGCGTATTTCATCCATTTTCTGTTCACTTTGTGTAGTTTGCACTTTTATGCACATGGACTGTTTGGCATATGAAATCCCCAGATTTTCCAGATTGGTGTCTACACCTAGAATTCAAAACCTTCCTCCATTTATGTTGTTGATTTTCCATGATATTAGGACAAGTGTGTGTTCATATGCCTCATTCAATGCACATTAAATACAGTGGCTAATGAACTCAACAAAGTAAGTTTTTGAGTTTTCCAGAATTTTTGGTCAGGTTCGGTTGTTCAGAAGAGCAGAGGATGGGGAAGAAACACAGAATTCTACAAACTAGACTGATTGTTGTAGTTACTGTTTTCTCTTGTGGATTGAATAAACAAATGGTAGATGTTCAGATAATCGATTACACCTTGGATTCTATATTGGAAGCAATGGCTGGTATCAATTCAGAAGGCTAGGTGCTATTCAGATATTTGTCTTTTGTCTTGGGTGAAACATTGCTTCCTCAATTTACATAGAGGAGAAAAACAGAGGAATAGGTAAGTAGTGTTGGAGATTATTTTGAAGTGCTGTAACAGGCGTACGGTAAGGCTGCATACTCTCACCCAACCTCTTTAACTTGTATGCAGAACGCATCATGCGATGTGCAGGGCTTGATAAATGCAAAGCTGGGGTGAAAATTGCTGGAAGAAACATTAACAACCTTAGATATGCAGATGATACCACTTTGATGGCTGAAAGCGAGGAGGAGCTGAGGAGCCTTCTAATCAAGGTGAAAGAAGAAAGCGCAAAAGCTGGGTTGCAGCTAAACATAAAAAAACCCAAGATTATGGCAACAAGAATGATTGACAACTGGAAAATAGAGGGAGAAAATGTGGAGGCCGTGACAGACTTTGTATTTCTAGGTGCAAAGATTACTGCAGATGCAGACTGTGGCCAGGAAATCAGAAGGCGATTACTTCTTGGGAGGAGAGCAATGTCCAATCTCGATAAAATAGTAAAGAGTAGAGACATCACACTGGCAACAAAGATCCGCCTAGTCAAAGCCATGGTATTCCCTGTAGTAACCTACGGATGTGAGAGCTGGACCTTAGGGAAGGCTGAGCGAAGGAAGATAGATGCTTTTGGACTGTGGTGCTGGAGGAAAGTTCTGAGAGTGCCTTGGACTGAGAGAAGATCCAACCAGTCCATCCTCCAGGAAATAAAGCCCAATTGCTCATTGGAGGGAAGGATACTAGAGACAAAGTTGAAGTACTTTGGCCACATCATGAGGAGACAGCAAAGCCTGGAGAAGACAATCATGCTGGGGAAGGTGGAAGGTAAAAGGAAGAGGGGCCGACCAAGGGCAAGATGGATGGATGGCATCCTTGAAGTGACTGGACTGACCTTGAAGGAGCTGGGGGTGGTGACGGCCGACAGGGAGCTCTGGCGTGGGCTGGTCCGTGAGGTCACAAAGAGTCGGAGACAACTGAACGAATGAACAAACAGGAAAGTGGAAGTGAAATTCTGACAAATTTCATGTACAGTAGGTTCTATTCCCTCCCTCCACACCAGGCCCGTAGCCAGAATTTTGATTCGGAGAGGGGGGGGGCTGAGTTTGGTTCGGGGGGGCCTGAGTCTGAGTGAAAGAGGGTCTACCCTAGCAAACCTTTTGTATCGTTACCCCAATACCCCCATGCATATGGGATATATTGGAGTGGTGATCAGATATGAATAAACATAACAGTTAATAATGCACCAGTAAGGCCTTTCTGGACCACCATGAGAATTGGGGGGGGGGGGGCTTGGGGGTCTTCGGGGCTGGGTGGGGGGGGGGGGGGGGCCGAGGCCCCTCAAGCCCCCCCCCCCCCCCCGGCTACATGCCTGCTCCACACATTTCTTCCTCCTGGTTATACCATGTCAGCTTTCCAATTCATTAGATGATATAAGTGATTCTAGTCTCCCATCCAGCTATTGACCACCCTTGGATGGTTGTTTTATTTTAGGGAACATCATTTGGCAACCATGCTAATCAGGTCTAGATCGGAGATTGCTTGGAAACCCAATTTGTGTCAAGTGGTTTTTATGTTCAGATTCAGCCCTAGGACCTTAAAAATTAAGGTCCAGATCTAGAAATATGAAAATGGAGGTAGATCTCTGTTTTTATGGACTTCTTTCATTAATTCATGAGCATCTACAATAAATAATTCAAAGCCAAGAATCTTTAGTGTTCTAGCTTCATGAATATAAAATACTAGCTTGGGTACCCAGCGGTGCCCGGATTATATGAAAAAGGTATTGTTTGTTTGGGGGTTGTTAGGTAGTATCATTTAGTTAAGTAGTAACACTATTTATTAAGAAAAAGCCAGAATGTGATTTCATTATTTATGAATGCTCCCATTAGAAAATACATAATGATGTGGGTGAACTACAGTTCACAGAATCGTGGGTCAATCTTTCCAAACCAGGCCTATATGCATAGTTCACCATGTTGAGTTTGTGTGCCAAGTGTTCTAGATCTGTTGTCAGATGGGTTCAGTGCTCTCTGGATAAGGGTGAACTACAACTCCCATATGCTAAGGACAGTCACCCCCAAATTCTGCCAGTGTTTACAGTTGGCCTCAGTCTCCCAAACCCCTCCAATCTGTTCAGTTGCAGATCAATTCCTCTGTGTTTGCTGTGAGCCATAGGAAAGGGTAGGAGAGGGTTAAGGGAGAGGCAGTGGGCGGGGTCATGCAAATTCCACACAAGGAACCCTGGGATGCCTACCTGTGATGGAAGAAACACATCAAATCTAGGATGAAGTTCTCCCCAAATGAAAGCATTTTTTGGGTAGTGGGCCGCAGTGTTTGAGGGAAGACATTGGCAGCATTTGGGCTACATGTTCATGACGCCCGCTCTAATCTGCAACATCGTGGAGGGAGTGCCTTTGGAGGCTTCTCAGCACTTGGAATTATAGCCTGTTTGTGGTGGCCAGGGGATGTCCATGTAAGTGGACACCTCTGCCACATGCCCACATACACATTTTTCACTTTTATTATGTGTATAGAGGAAAGAGTGTTTGGGCTGACATTTTGTTTAATTATGATAAGACTTGTCTGGTGCAAACTTGGTTTTGTATAGATGTTTCAGTTATGCACTGTTTACACTCTCTGCTTTACTTCACATTTACTTTCCATTTCAGGGAGACAGCAGATGAGAATCTCTTCCAAAAACTTCTACACATTTTGAGGAAAGCTTCACATGAAATTGATGGGGCCTGCCAGGATGTCAATACATTGTCACGTCTGGATTCTTATTTGCTCCTTCTATCAGAATGTTTTAGATGCCTTCGGAATGCCTGTGTCCAATGTACCAATAATCAGAACATTATGAGGTACAAATATGCATAGTTTTCCAATGCTTAAATCCAGTCATTTGTTTCACTCTGTTGAGTTTTTCCTTGACTCAATCTTTGAAGCAGACTGACTCTGAAATATTTTTCTCTCTGTGCTGATCAACTTCATCTTACTGTATCCATGTTTGGTATATTACTAGCAGGTAATTTGAAATCTTGTGAATCTTCTCCATTTGTTAAATTTTAGCGCAAGCTAACTGACCAGTGAATAGTCTATTTCTTTCATACACACGCGCGCGCACACACACACACACACTTCTCTTGTGATTTCTTTCCCCCCTCAAAGATATGTGAAATGGTACCATACTTCGATTAAACATGGGTTTTCCAGTGATATTTTTTCCTTTAGTTTTGTTAAGCTTCCTTTGTATTTCTGTCTTTCCATGATATATTTTACCCTTTGATCACAGTTTTCCAATTAATTGTGGACCCATCTGACAGTGTTGTCATCTGTCAGTGGCTTTCATGGCCGGAATCACTGGGTTGTTGTTTGGTTTCGGAGCTGTATTACCGTGTTCTAGCAGCATTTTCTCCTGATGCTTTGTCTGCATCTGTAACTGGCATCTTCAGAAGATGCTAGCCACAGATGCAGTTGAAACATCAAGGGAAAATGCTGCTAGAACATAGCCATACAGTCTGGAAACCACACAATATCCAAGTGTTATAATCCATTCTACATGTAATAGTTTGCTAGTAAAAATACAGGGTGTTTTTAAAAAATGGACCCAATTTGAAATTTCTTTATCTCTGCAACCAGGAAAGCCCATGAATGAAACTCCTAGCCCTTGAAAGCGTGGGACATAGTTTCACAGGATTACTGCTAGATGCCTCTCCCAGCGCACAGACACCATGCATCCTCAGTCATTCCCAAAATAGCGATCCCATAACATAAAGCATAATGAGATATTCTTCATTTACGTAGTTTTAAAAAAGATTTGTTTCTGCCTCAAAATTGTTAGTAAAACTTGATAACTTGATAACTCATTTAAATTGTGTGTAATATTTGTGTAATTGTAATATATTGCTATTGTGAAATATCTTGGTTTGAAAATGTGTCCATAATTTTGAAACACCTTATTTTACAAGGTCCCTGTAAAATAAGATCCAAATAAATTGATATCCATAGCATCCCCACCTTGTGATGTGATGGAATGAAGAAATAAGATTAGTTTGGAAAAATTTGTTTTTGACAAACCCATGCTAGCTCTTAGCAATCTCTGCATTGTCATCAGGATTATTTATGATTGGCCAGTAGTTTCCTGGCTTTTCATCTTTTCCTTTCTCTAGTCTTTTGGCATTTCACCTTTTTTCTTCCTCTATTACCATTACTGCATTTTTGTTAATGCAGTAATGTAATGCAGCAATGCAGTAATGTATTGGAAAACATCTACTTGGTTAATTGAGGTATACTTGTACTTTTCAGTCCTCTTTCTTTCTTCAGATCTTTTTTCTTGGTCATTGTCTCTCAAGAATATGAATGATAGTAGTGTTCAGAAATCCTTTGCCTCTTAATTTCTACTACTCTGACATAAGAGAAAATTCAGCCAATAACTGCTATAGGTTGAGTATCTCTTATCTGAAATACTTGGGACCAACATAATTTTTAATTTTTCTGGATTTTGAAAGCCTGATGTTTGCTTATATGTAAGTAATGAGGTAAATTTATACAACATCTATATAAATAAAAATGTAATGTTCGTTTGTGGGATTAACGTAACTCAAAAGCCACTGGGCAAATTGACACCAAATTTGGACACAAGACACCTATTAGGCCAACGAGTGAACATCACCCCTAAATGCAAGCACATACAAATATACACATACAGTATACACACACATACATATACACCTACACACATATATACACACATATATGGATATACACAAGCACACACATATACACATACACATATAAACACACACACAAATATATACACATGTATACACACATAAATACACACATATACATACACACAAACAGACATATATACACATATACACAAATATATACACATATATACACACACAAAACACATATTCATAGACTGGGCCACAGCAACGGGTGGCAGGGGATGGCTAGTTTGTAATAATTTTGTGCACGAAGCAAACGTTATGTAATTCAACCATGAGAAAGCAAAGATCTCAGCCACTCATATGAAGACCTTTGGATTTTCAAATATTTGGGGTTTTTTTTGGAATTTCAGATAAAGGTAGTAGGTTCAGTACCATATGATCCTTCTGTTGTATTGTGATATACAAATGTTGGCTTTATCTAACATTCAAAACATTGTTTTCTTCTTCTTTCATAACAGAAATGTGGGTCTTATTGATGAATCTGTCCATCTTTTCCAACTGTTTCAGAAATTGGATAGTGATGTAGAGTCATTATTAACAGGTAAGGTATTAGTGAGTTATTGCCAGGCAAATAAGATGCAAACATGTCTTTCTTGGTTGTGCAGCTATTGCTAAATATATCATAGGTTTGAGTGTAGTTGGCAGAGGATGATGCAGTGAAAGCTTCCCTGGCTAGTCACCTGGGTGAGATGTCCCTGGAAAGGGATGAAACTTTCATAGTAAAATGAATTTAGATCTTCGTGGATTTAAATGCCATAGCCTTGTACATATTTCCTGTAACTTGAAACATTGTTTTACCCTTTTATAAAAATGAGTTGAATGTTTTTTCCCCATGGGAGCCATTTTAAAAAGCAAATGTGTCACTATGTCAGCCATATGGATCACTTTGGATTTTGGAATTCTAGATAAGGGATGTTCAATCTGTCTTAAGTTTCTCAAGATCAAAGCAGAGCAGATTCTATATGATAAAACAAAGAGTCACTCATTATATGACATTGCCCTTGTATCTCACTTCTGCAGGCAATTTAACAATTTCCCTCCGCCTCCTCTTCCGATGTAATGAAGTGTGAGCAAAAAACTATTTCATAGCCAGCCCCAGATTCTTAATGGAGAACGAGGATCTAATTCTACAGCAGGATTGGGCAACTGTGATTTGGGGCCTATTTTAAACTTGGGCAAATTGACAGCGGCTGCAATACTTGTCTAATACCTTAATTTTTAGTGTTCTGTGTCAGAAAATGTGGTGCTCTCAATGAAGAAATGATTTCAGAAGGAGGTGGTTCTACTATTCTGTCTTCGACTGAGAAAGTGTTTTCTAGGGAAAAGCCTTCGTTATATATACATTTCAGTGATGTTCGTTGTGTTATTTTTCCATTTATAAAATTAATTTAGCTTCTTTACATAAGTCACACCTGTGATTCATGTATGTACTCATGGATTGCAGTAGCAAAGACCATATAAAATAATTAAAAAGTTAGGAGCACCCAGTGGCGAAATGGATTAAACCAGTGGTTCTCAACCTGGGGTCCCCAGATGTTTTTGGCCTTCAACTCCCAGAAATCCTAACAGCTGGTAAACTGGCTGGGATTTCTGGGAGTTGTAGGCCAAAAAAAATCTGGGGACCCCAGGTTGAGAACCACTGGGTTAAACCCTTGTGTTGGCCAGACTGCTGACCGAAAGGTTAGTGGTTCAAATCCAGCGAGTGGGGTGAGCTCCCGTATGTCAGCTCCAGCTTCTCATTCAGGAACATGAGAGAAGCCTCCTACAGGATGCTTACACATCTGGCCGTCCCCTGGCAATGTACCTACAGACCGCCAATTTTCTCACACCAGAAACGACTTGTAGTTGCTCAAGTTGCTCCTGACATGAAAAAAGAGCTTGTTTTTCAAAAGAGCTACTAGAAAAGCACCTCATACTTTTTCATGTTATGGTAATGTTGCTTTTAATCTTTCCATATAACCAGTTCTTCCACTTTTCATAAAGCTTTTGTGATTTGCATATTTGCGTCTTTGAGCTGTCAAGTTTTTACTGATAAATGATATGTATGGTGGCCTAACAGATTGATATCCATTTAAAGTTCGAGTGGCTCTTCTAAATCCTAACTGGTTTGTGTGAAGAATGCCTTTTCTCACATGTGTTGTCCTTGCAATCATAACACTATGTAACAAATTTGAGAAAAAATCTGTTCCTAGTTTGAAAATGTTATTCTTGTTTAATTGTGTCGTACTTATTTTTAAAGTAGCTTCTATACTCCAGAAACTTTATTTTTGTGGTTTCCACAAACTATGTTCAGTTGGTTGAGTCCCGATGAGATATTCATGAAAAACTAAAGCAAAATTTGCTGCAGCATGTCCTGGAAAAACAAAGTTTTTGCAGTTTAATAAACCTTTTCCATATTTTTATGATAGAACCAACTAAGAAATCGCATTTATAATCCAGGAAAAAATGTTTTACATAGTTAATTGGAGGCCCTTCTTCACACTTATGGGCATGGAGCAAGAAATTAGCTTTTTTCTCATCCTAGAATAGAACTGGGAAGTTTCTTTATAAATGACTGTTGATTTAAATATGTTTTCTGTAGCAAAATGCCATATTTTATGGATATGTTCTATTTTCATATGAAATCAGTCCTTAGCGGTGGTACTAGAAGAGAGCTGTACCTTTTAAAGTCTTGCGGTCTGATAAGCAAAGCTGAGATTCCATTCTCACAGAAGACTTACCTGCTTTGAAATTAAATGAAGCAGTCAACCATTCAGACTCGAATATATCCATCTATGTTTATAACATTTGCCGCATCTGGTGGACTGGCATGTCATATGATCATGTAATACGGCGGGTAGACACCATGAAAAACTCATAGTGGGTGGTCAGTTCTCTTCACTATTTTTCTTGGTTACTTAAGTGGTTGAAATCCAGGTGTTTTTGCTACTTAAATACCTGGAGCAAGAAATTGTGTTCTTTAATTGGTAGTTTAATTATGGTTTTTATTGCAGCAGGAATGAGCGTTATGTGAAGAAACATCACTATAATGTTTATTTAAAACAACCAAATTGCTCAGTTCCTTTTAGTAATTATATTAGGAGGCTATGGACTAAAATAGACATTTCACAAAGCACTTATATCTAAAATACAGAGAATGGAACGATGCATGTTGTTGAATGCATCTGTCCATTTCTCATGTCGGTATTAAAAACATAAATAGCACCAGCTATTGATGGCAAAAGAAATTTTCCTCCAGTGAATGTCTTCTGAGAAGGAATTTTGTTTAGCAATATAATTGTGTAGTAATGCTTACATTGGTCTTCTTTCTCTGCTGTATCCTCAGTAATTACCAACTTAAACTGTCCTCTTCCAGGTGATTCTATTTCAATTTTTACGAGCTTGCATATTGACTACAAAGATTAATTTAGACTGCAACTCTTTACACGTTTACCTAGTAATTGAATTCTTGTTGAATAAAGTCTTGTTGAATTCTGTGGAACTCACTTCACATATAGAGGATTATTTGTCATTTATCATTGTCTTTATTTATACTCTTTTCCCCAATATTGGAATTTAAAATGACTTACAAATTATTATTAATGTCACATGAACTTTAGTCTTAACATCTTAAGGTTTTAAATCAGTGGTTCTCAATCTGGGGTCCCCAGATGTTTTTGGCCTTCAACTCCCAGAAATCCTAACAGCTGGTAAACTGGTTGGGATTTCTGGGAGTTGTAGGCCAAAACACCTGGGGACCTACAGGTTGAGAACTACTGTTTTAAATGAAGAATGGCCAACTTGTGGGAGCTGAAGTCCAAAACACCTGGTGGACTAAATTTAGAAGGTGATTTAAAGAAATGACCATGTAGAGAGAAAACGCAAAGTATAAATAAACAACAACAATCCAGTTTTTAATAAACTGGCAGTATATAATCAGACACTAGAGAGCGCTGTGATACATCCTTTAAAGAACAAGTTATGCAAGATTAACACATCCTTTGCCCAGATATTCTTAGAGCTGCAATTTTGCTATGGTTCAAAATAACTAAATTGGTTTAACATGTGACAATAGGCCTAACATTTTAAGAATTAATGAAATACTTTCAATCTTAAATTATGACAGTTTTTAACATATATTTGAATGAAATTGATGACATAGTTATAGCCCCCTATCCCTATTCATTTACAATTGAGGAAAACTATTATAGGCTGCAAAGTGTGAAATAGCAATATATCAAAATAAAAGTACTACGTCTCTCACTATTTATTTATTTACTGTTATTTATACCCCGCTCTACTCAACCCCGAAGGGGACTCAAGAGCGGCTTACAGATTTTGGCAACATTCAATGCCGCATCATATAACAAATAATAAATATAACATATCAAATTATAAAACAATGAAAACATATAAATGCATTAAGTGCAACAACAAATAATAAATATAACATATCAAATTATAAAACATATAAATGCAATAAAACATATTTTTATAGTTTTAACAAAGCAGATGTTCCATCAGGGGAAGAATGAGATGCTAAACCAGGGTGGCAGTGTTCACTCAAGAGAGTGAACTACCCACTTTATTTTTCAACTTTCAAAACCACTTCAGTTTATAGTCAAGGAACTCAACATCCTAAAAGTTCCCTTCTAGAAAATTAAGGAAAGTACATGTCTTTGCCATCTTTTGCTTTCTTTTAAAATGCATCTGGCATAAAGGCTTTACTCATATCACACATATTACACGAATCTTAATGCCAGGGCAGTTTCAGTATTTTAAAAAACCCCTGCATTTAGTGAAATGTTTCCTTCAGTAAATTAGTACTTAAGGGCCCAAACCAGATGGTAAAGGGATTTTAAAGGGATTGGCATTCTCATTCCTATATATATATATGAGAGAGAGAGAGAGAGAGAGAGAGAGAGAGAATGCCAATGCCAATTCATGGAGGTCCAGAATATCAGTATACAAGGCATTTTGGTAAAAATGACAAGTACCCAGTTTCTTCCCTTGTTCAACAATTGGCATAACATATAATTAAATATTAAATACAGTTAAATACATATTACTAAAGGTTAGCCCAATAGAGATGGAGGTTTGATTGCTTGGCCCTTGAAATAGTAAAAAAGTAGCTGTTTGAATGGTGCCGAGCCAGCTGGCAAACGGAACTGCTTAGAGGGCCTGGGAACGCTGCTTCTTTGGAACACAGAGAAAGAAAACTTAAAATAAGGTCACTTGGGGTTGAGCACAAAGTAATGTCCACCTTTTTCTTTATGGGTTTTCCCCCTTCATATTATGAATAAATAAGAAAAGTTGTTGAAGGTAGCATGGAAGGTATGTTACTGTAACATCTTCATGCAAGAATAGACAGAACATAATTTGTATACTCAGTGCTGTAATGGCATGGTAGATTATCTTGAAGTAGAAATCTGTCTTTTTGCTATGCTAAAATTTAAAATAGGATCAATTTGATCTGCATCTCCATCTTATTGCATATAGATTCCCCTAACAAAGGCCAATTGTCTGCCAAAACTGACAATGTGGCATCTCCAGTTTGACTAAGACACATCCCTTTGGTCCATCGAGTGGGCACTGAGGCAGAAATAGGCCTCTGAATCATAGAATCATAGAGTTGGAAGAGACCTCGTGGGCTATCCAGTCCAACCCCCTGCCAAGAAGCAAGAAAATTGCATTCAAAGCACCCCCGACAGATGGTCATCCAGCCTCTGTTTAAAAGCTTCCAAAGAAGGACCCTCCACCACGCTCCAGGGTAGAGAGTTCCACTGCTGAATGGCTTTTACAGTCAGGAAGTTCTTCCTAATGTTCAGATGGAATCTCCTTTCTTGTAGTTTGAAGTCATTGTTCCGCGTCCTAGTCTCCAGGGCACAAGTTCGCTCCCTCCTCCCTGCTTTCAGTTCAGTTACATATCCCTTAGCTAGGCAAACATGTCTCTGCAAAGTTCTGTTTGGTAGGAACCCTCAGACTTCTCTTTCCTTTCCAGTCACACATTGTGCCATGTTGGGCTTCTTGATATTTATAGTATTAGTATTCAATTGGTCTGCTTGGATTGGAAAAATGTAGAGAGGATAGAATTACCGTATATTCTGGCATATAAGAAGACGACGTATAAGACGACCCCCAACTTTTCCAGTTAAAATATAGAGTTTGGGATATATTCACTGTATAAGACCACCCCTTTTCCAACGCACACCAAATATTTTTTTTAAAAAAGCATCAGATTTGATTTCAATATGGTAATTTTCCTATTACTGTACCTCCTTATCTGCCTCTCCGATCTCGCACCTGCGCACCTGCACCGCTTCACTGCAGTCTTCAGGAGTGAGATCTGAGAGGCAGAGGAGGAGGTATGGTAATAAGATACAAGGGCGGGCCAGACAGGTAAAAGAGTTGTGTTTTTCTGGGCCCAGAGCCACTCTATCTCTTTTTTCCATACCCCGGGTGCCCTGGATGCCTGCAGCTTGCCCCGCCCTTCACTTTCACCTTCCCGGTGAGGCACCCCTCACCAACGGGACCGCATTAAGTCCACGAATCCTGATGAATGGATTTTCTTCTACCGTACTTGTACAGCGTCACCCTTAATGCTTTCATACAGTCGCTGCGTACGGCAGGGATGTGGCCATTGCCATTTTTTAACTCCCCCCACCATAGATTCTCCAATCCGATTGGAAGTTTCAGCACCCGCTCTATAAGACGACTCCCATGTATAAGACTACTCCCGCGTATAAGACTACTCCCGTGTATAAGACTACTCCCGTGTATAAGACTACTCCCGCGTATAAGACTACTCCCGTGTATAAGACGAACCCACGTATAAGACGATCCCTGACATTTGAGAAGATTTTCTTGGGTTAAAAAGTAGTCTTATACACCAGAATATACAGTAAGTAAGTGGAGGAGAACAGGAGAGCCAGATTTGAAGGATGGCTTGAACAGATAAAATTAAATATGGCTCTTTTATTTCAAGTGGCTAAAGAACATGCATCTTGGGTCTCAAAAAGCTGAAAATGTCCTGAAGTGGAATGAGTGACCAAGACAGAATAGTTGCATAAGTCCTTATTTAGTATGGGTGTGTACTGAATATTGTTCCACAAATAAACATTGTGGCCAAGAGCTTCTCTCGCCTCTCAGCATTAAAATGAATCCCATGGTTCAGGTACAACAGGGACCTCTGATTTAGAGTGAGGCAGAAATGAACCAGCATCTAAGGGGAAGAGCAATGGAGGAATCTTGAACACTGTTTTATGATGTCTGCAGCAGTGATCCAAACCTGTCTGTGTTGTCCCTTTAAACTGCAGGGTGATGACTGAAAAGATTGACCCATGGCAGTTGTGTGGGTTAACAGAGAGGTCTGCACAATTTGTGATGAAACACTCTTTGGGTAGTATAATAAAAGGAATACAGAATGTATTTTCTTTTGTTGTGGTATAAATTTCATTGTGTTATTTGAAAATAGCACACAGTAAACAAAATTATAAATACACATATTTTGTACACTGTTTTAGATTAACTACTTTAAAACTGTTATAAATTCTTCAGTGCTGTTTTGATACTTGTACCTTATGCTGATCTTTTGATGTGGAATATAAATATTTTAATGAAATTAGCATATTGATCCTATCTATGTTTGCTCACAATCCCACAAGTTTTATATAGTATTGTTTCTTGATAAATCAGTGGACTATATCTTAGGAGATTTGAAGGCAATGTTTTGTTGTGTGATAAAAGTATGTTGATGGGATATCTTTCTGCTCTCCTTCTAGCTTTCCGCTGTGGACTCCAGTTTCTTGGAAACGTTGCAACAGGAAATAGTGAATCGCAGAACACAATTTGGAAACTCGCTTTCCCTTCCCTTTTCTTGTAAGTATCAGGAGGTATCTTCCTCTGTCCAAAATATGTTATCACTGATTGGGAAAATGCAATCACATAATTCTTGATAATGTTAATGTTGTTATGGAGCAAGAGCCCTGGAACACAAAACAAGGTTTTAACTTAAACAATAACTTGAACACCGAGCCTCTTCAAGGTCTAAATACAGAACAGAAATATAGCATGCAGCTGAGATAACACAAAGTCCCAAGATTCAAAGGCGCAGTCTGTAGTCAGGCTTCCAAAATCAAATCGGGAAAGCTGGGCAAGCTGATGTCCAAATTCCAAAGGGTAATAATTAGTACTCAACTTCATTAATAAAACCAGGAGGTCAGTCCAGAGTCCAGATACAAGGCTTCAAGATTGAACATGTATAAAGCATGGATTCAAGGTTCAGCAGAGTATAATAAGACAGGATCACAAGAATCAGGTCCGGGTATTGAGATCCAACCAGGGGTAACACCCAAGATACTGTTCTCCGAAAAGCAATCTCTTGCAGACCTCTTTTTATGCAGAGATTCTCATTAGCAGCTCGTATCAGCAGGCTTTCATCAATAATCTCGGCAGTTTATGAAACATTACTGGGAATGGAAAGTCAGCTTGACCTCTTCCAAATAGGAGAGAGGTTAACCCCTTCCCAACACTTAGCCGCAGCTGAACCAAACCCACCAAACTGCTGCTCATGACAGTTAAAGTGCTCAGGGAATGGTGTGATTACAGTTTTGAACAGGGGATTAGTGGCAATATTCTGATTTTGTTTCTATATGTTAACTTAAAAGATCCAGTGCTCTAAAATGTTGTTTGAAATGGGATCTCACATTGTAGGATTATCAGTGTATTCTATGTGCTCCAGGTTTGATACTAAAACATATACAGGTAGGTGAGTTCTAGGGAACTGACAATAAAACAATTCTCTAAGTGGTAACTATGCTAAACTTTTAAAGGTCCAGTGCTAAGAATAAAGAAGTACTATCTTCATTCTTTATTTTTATAGTCCTTATGAATAAGATGTTGTGACAATGGTTTTGAGGATATGTTTTGCAATAATGCACTTTTTGGAATGGCACTATCATAGGTGAGGCATTTCCTCTTGTGTATTGTGAGCAATTTCCTGTTTTTAGATTGCATGTTGTATACATGGTTTCTTTATTCATTTTTTGTGTTAAAATACCAGTAATTATTTTTTTAAATTGCCTGATTTTAATTAGGTTTTCCTTTCAAAATTGTTAATATTGATTAATAAATGAAACTATGATGAGCTGGATTTTAAGCTGATATAGTCCTTCCGAAGAAAGAACAAATTGATTTTTTTCTCATAGTATAGTATCAGCAATCCTAATTTCCTTCTCCTTCAAATAATATGACACTCTTGATCTTGCCAGTTCTCACATCCTTTGAAAATATTTGAGTGCATGATGTAGTGTGTTACTTTTTATACTCTGCTAGCTTAAGGGTTAATTGAAAGCAAATTAGAAAAGGAAAGCCTGCTTTTCATTTGATTCTTAAGATCTAGGCAATGGTTCTCAGCCTGTGGGTCCCCAGATGTTTTGGCCTTCAACTCCCAGAAATCCTAACAGCTGGTAAACTGGCTGGGATTTCTGGGAGTTGTAAGTCAAAACACCTGGGGACCCACAAGTTGGGAACCACTGATCTAGGACATTGTTATCTTCTATTGTTACATTTTTTTAAAGAGCCTTCACCCATACATGATGTTATTTGTTTTTTGAGGAATTGCTTAAATCATCAGGATGAAAAGATAGTTGGCTACTGCTGCATGGTTCTCGCAACATGCCTCAACCCTGAGAGAATGAAAGAACTACAGGACGAAAACAACTTGAACGTAGTCCTTGCAGTTTTGAAAGCCTACAGAAGGCACCTGGAATCAGAATGGGTGTATGTATTATTATTTTTTTTAAACTGTCTCAAAATATTTATGAGGCCTCTTATTAAGTCTTTGATTATCTCTTCTTTTCATATTAAAAATGCCACTTCTTTTGAACTCCTTTTGATATAGCCACCATTGTTTCCTGTGAGAGTAACTGAGCATATGGGCTGAGGAAAAAAAAACAAAAACAAAAACAGCAGATGGAGCTGTTTTTCTCAGCCCAAGTGATGCAGAAGGAAAGGCCCAAGAAGGAGGTATGGGACAGCTTCAGTAGAGACTCATGAAACTTGGAAAGGTCTCTACACTCTGGTCTTAGGTGCTAGCTGTTGAGTGCCTCTCAGAAAGAAAAAACAGCCAATGAAGGCTTGCTCTTTTGATTGATGCTAAGATGCCTGTTATTAGATAAGAAAATAGCTCAGGGCTTGTTCAAAAGTGTGGAGAATGGGGAGTGTAGAGATATTCTTTCCTGTGGAAAATAGTCTTTGAGAGTCAAGGCACATGGGTTGAAGCATAACATTTTTCCCTGTGTGGTCATACCACTTCGGCAAGAATTAGGCTTTGGTGCAAAATGCTATTATATAATACTTACATTTAATTTTCCAATTTAATTTATTTTTCTAATAAGGATATGTACTTTAGTTGCCTGGTATTCTCAATGTTTACGTGCATTTGAGAGGTTGAGTCTGGGTTATAGCTCAAGGACAAAAGTAATATCCTAAGTTTGCAACTCTGATTCAAATCGATCTCCTGGAGCTCCAACTGAAATTTCCCTTGCCAAATGCCTCTGGAAATCTGCTGGTGTGTAGGCTTTGGCAGGCGGGGGTGATGCCCACTACTAATCTTCTACTTTCCCTGGGGCTTTGGGAAGGCAGAACAGCAGCAATCTCAGTTCCCAATGTCACTTCTCCCCCATTAAGCCTATGAATTGATAGAAATCAGGGGAGCCATTGGTAGTACTGCCCAGCTCTCCCCACAGCTTGGAGGGGGGGGGGGCAGGGCAACAGCAATCTCAGTTGCCAATTGTCCTAAATGCCAGTGAATTGACTTCAGTGGGGCTTTTGGTGACTGAGATCACTGCTTCTCCATTCTCCTTGTGGTTTCGGAGAGGCAGGACAACAGCAGTCTGTTTCACCAATTGACTCTAGAAACCTGCCAGGCATCGAGGGGGTGGTGGTTGATGGTGCCCACTGCTGCTTTTCAACACTTTCTGAAGCTTCCGGAGGAGGAAAGGGCAATAATCACCAACCATCCTCAATCCCTACCAGTTCATAGGCTTCAGGAGTGCAGTGGGTGACATATTACTACTTAGTTATGTTCTCTGCCACTTTGGGAGGTGGGGCAGCCATGATCTCAGTTGCCAACTGCACCCTTGAAACCTACAAACTGGCAGGATTTAGAGGAGTTGTTGTCAAGACTCACCAATGCTTTTCTGCTCTCCCTTTTGCTTCAGGGGATAGGGGGAGGCAGGGCAACAACAATCTCAGATATCGTATTGCCAGTTTGTGAACTTTGAGAGAACAGTTGGCGATTGAGAGTGTTTCATCTCCCCACAGCTTTGGGGGGGGGGGTCAGGGAAGTAGTGATCCCAGCCATCAATGTACCCCCCCCCCCAGCTTACAAACTGGCAAGAGTCAGGAGCAGTCCTGCTGCCCACTGCTGCTGCTCCATTCGCACAGATCAACATCAGTCTCCCTGGCAAACCACTCCTGAATAGCTGCTGTGGGGCACATTCTTCATACCCCCCCCTCTTTGAAGAGTCCCCCCCCCCTGCCTCCACAAGAAAGCCTCCCAAGGATGTTTACGGTTTTCCACTGTCATGCAGTTCCCGTGTCTCTTAATCCCTGCAAACTTACACATATTGCCCCTATTTGGCTTGTGAGGATATCCCTTCCTCCTCATCTCATTTAGTAGACTCCCTCAATTTAGGGTTGTATTTCATTGTTAACTTCATTTTTGAAGCAAACAACACAATTTTAGCAATTTTCTTTCTGCTGTGAGAAAAAAAAATCTTCAAAATGTTAGTTTTTGAAGACTTCCTCTGAACAAAATCTGGACATGGCATTTTTGCATAGAGAAAAGACTTTTCTGCTTAGGAAATAGCATTTTCCAAAAACATTGCGTTCAGCGTAGAAATGCTGGTATCTTTATCATTTATGATTTCATGCTGAATATGTCCTGAACTGTGAAGATTCTTACTAGTTCAAAGTTTCTTGACATTCAAGAAATATGTTTTTCAACTATTTTTATAATGTAATCATAGATAGATAATCTGTATAGTAAATAATTCTTGTAATGCCAGTATGAACTAAATTAATACACTGCAGATTAGCTAACTTTGCAGTTTTCGTATAACCAATGACAGTTTGTCCTTTTTTCCCCTTCTTCTTTCAGGTTTTTGATTGTTACCAACCATTTGCTGAAGTGCCCAGAGTTGGTCAAGGCCATGTATGCCAAACTGAGCAATCAAGAAAGGTAACCCCAAAAACCAATGTGGGTTTTAGCATTTAGCATTCCATATAGAGTATCCTGTTCACATGATTTGAAAAAAACTCTGTGGTTTTATAGTTGGCACTGAATCTCTAAATACATGTTTCTATGTCAGTAATGGTTTTAAATTGGTTGGTTAACATTGCAATTTAGCCGCAACTGGCAGGGGTTTAGATAGGAGTTGCAGTATCCAGGTTGGTGTCTTTAGTTTGTAAAGAAGAGAAAGGCAAAATGAAGACAAGGTTTCATGACAGCACCATGCATTTTATATGCAACTTATGCCCTCATTAAATAGCTAGACTATGGTCACTTGTACAGGCAGTCCTCAAGTTATGAACAATATAAGTTCTGTAGGTTTGTTCCTAAATTGAATGTGTTTGTAAGTCAGAACAGGTGCATTTTAAGGGTGACTCTAAACACACACAGAGCTAGCTTTGGATGGCATAGGGGAGGGTCAACATGCCCGTGGTGTTTGTTCTGTTCCTCTGTTCAGAAGATTTCACCTCAGTCCTTGTGATAATTGGATTTTGACAAATTTGGCTTGTTGTGGAAACAAGGATTGGTGATAAAGCTTCAGCTGAGACACTTTTTTCCCATGATAACTCTTCCAGGAGTAAATTTCCCTTCTGAGAGGTAGATTTCTCTCACTTCCTATTGTCTGACTCCTGTTCCTCACCATGAGTCACTTGTAAGTCAGATATTTGTAACTTGGGGACTGCCTGTATATGTATGTGTGTGAGAGATGTGTGTGAGAGAGAGTGAGAAAGAAAGAGATTATAAGTGCATTTTACCTTTCCACCAAACACACAAGCACATAGGTGCAAAAATATTTAAATGTTGTGATATGCAGTTTCAGTTTCTGTCTTCATCATCTGCTGTAACAAAGAAATAAGGTGTACACAAGCTGGAAAATACAGAATATAGAGAATGGAGTTACAAAGTGGATGGATGTTGTTATGGCTTGGATGGATGTTGCTATGGTCCAGGTGATTTGAAGGTGGAGCAGTGGGTTAAAATGCTGAGCTGCTGAGCTGCTGAGGTCACAGGTTCAGATCCGGGGAGCGGCATGAGCTTCCGCTGTCAGCCCCAGCTTCTGCCAACCTAGCAGTTCAAAATGTGAGTAGATTAATAGGTACCACTCCAGTGGGAAGGTAACGGCACTCCATGCAGTCTTGCCAGCCACATGATCTTGGAGGTGGAATCTCCTTTCCTGTAGTTTGAATAAATTCAGAATTTTCCCCTTTCATATCATTCTCTTCAATGGGCCAACTATTCAATTATTCAAAAAGACAACTAATGATCCAAAAGTGTCCTGTGTTTAGCCATTTAAAAATTAGAATCCTCCTTCCCCCAGGGCAACACAGTGTCTTTTTGCATAGGTTCCCAAGGATACAGTGAAAAAAAATGGTTATTTACGCCCTTTCTTGAATAGTTTCTATGGGGAGATAACTTTGAGATCTGTTGGCTACCTTCCATTGAAGCATAGAATCTGAAGCTGTATAAAAATTCCAGAATTTGAGATTTCTCAGAGCAATATAGCATTGTATTTAAGACCTAGCATTGTTTGCAAACTCTTCAAACACTGGTTTCACTCTCAGTTTCACCCAATCAGACCATAATCATTACAACCTAACAATGGTGAAGAGAAACAGATCCTGATTACACATCTCACTACTCAGCACTTGTAAAAATGCAAACAATATTTTGAAAAGTACCAACGATCTAAGGAATTGGCTTAGAAAGAGAATGTTTTAAAGATGTGTAACATACTTTTAGTATTGAATTAAAAAAAACCAAGCCACAAGAGAGCCAGTGTTACATAATGATTTCAGCTTTGGACTACAACTCTGGAAACTAGGGTTTGAAGCTCTGCTCATCCGTGGAAAAGCATGAGATGATCGTGGGCATTACACACTCTCTTTGCTTGAAAGGGAAGGCAAAGGTAAACCTCTTCTGAACAAATATTGCCAAGAAAACCCTGAGATAGGTTCACATTAGGATCAGCATAAGTCAGAAACAATTCTAATCACATAATGTGCCTCTGTAGGACACCACTTACAGCCTATGGGAACAACTCAAAAGATTGATAATTTAAAATTTATGCTCTGCTAGTTCCCAAAATATCTGAAAAAATTTCCATCTCCACATCATTCTGTTCATTAAATCGTCATTATCACCTATTCATTTATTTGTGTTTTTAATGGTCTTAGTGTAGAAATACCAAGTACGATACCTTTTAACAAATCCTATTTCTAATGCTTGTTCCTTTCAAGTTTATTGGAAATATGTTGCAAATTAGACTTAAAATGATATGTGCGGGTTTTCTTTTTAGCAGAGGATAGCTGTTGTGAAAAAGTATATTATACTAAAAGAGTACACTTTTTGAATTTTTATGCAGAGCAAGTCCCAATCTGCAAAATTTCTAATTCCTCTTGAATGCTCCCCATCAGGGTTTTCTGATACCTGATAAACCTGTTTTTCTACCATTTAAAAAAATACTCTTTCCATTACTACCAGCCCCTAACAACATCTCAACCAAATATTTAAATCTCGCTTTTCATTTTTAAATGACATAATAATTTGAAAGACCACCGCTGCCCCCAAATTGGGAGGGTCACTTCCTCCCAATTTAATCAATAATATTTCCAAAAACCATTTAATATATATGGTTTTTAATGCTCTGTTATACCTTTTGGTCATTCAGTGACCTTCAGACAATGGAAGGAAATATAGTTGTTATTATTATTATCCCACTTTTTCTCTCCATATGGAGACTCAAAGTAGCTCACCACTAAAGCATATGAATGCAACTCAAAATATACAAATATACAAGTATCAAAGCAGTATTGAACATCATTAAGAGCATATAAAATCACAGCAGCCCCTGACGATCTTCTTTAAAAGTCTGCCTTAATAAAAAGGTTTCAACTTGTTGCCTGAAGGAGGGGGCCATTCTGGCTTCCCTGGGAAGAAGTGAATTCCAGAGTTGAGGGGCAGCCACTGAGAAAGAAAGCCCACCCTCTCATTCCCACCAACCGAGCTTGAGATTGAGATGGGACCAAGAGACAGGCCTCCCCTGAAGATCCCAGGGCCTGGGCAGGTTTGTACAAGTAGATGTGGTCAGCCAAATGGCTGGACCTGAACCATTTAGGGCTTTAAAGGTCATAACCAGCACTTTGAATTGTGTCTGGCAACAGATTGGGCAGCCAGTGGAGCTGCTTCAACCGGGGGGGGGGGGGGGGGGGGGGGGGGGGTGTCAGCTTCCTGTAGCTAGTCCTAGTGCAGCTCTTTGGACCAGCTGAAGTTTCCAAGCACTCCTCAGAGGCAGCCTCATGTAGAATGCATTACAGTAATCCAGACAGGATGTAACTAAGGCATGTACCACCATGGCCTGGTCTGGTTTCTCAAGGAACAGGCACAGCTGGCACATAAGTTTTAATTGTGCAAAGGCCCTCCTGGCCACCGCTTATACCTGAGCCTCCAGGTTCAATGCCAAGTCTAGGAGGACCCCCAAACTGCAGACCTGTGTCTTCAGAGGGAGTGTGACCCCATCCAGCACAGGCTGTATCCCTGTTCCTTGTTTTGCCTTCCAACTGACCAGAAGTACCTCTATATCTTCTGGATTAAGTTTCAATTTGTTTGCCCTCATCCAGTCCATTACTGATGACAGGTACTGGTTTAGGGTCAGGACAGTTTCCTTGGCATTAGGTGGAAAGAAGTGGTAGAGCTAGGTGTCATCTACTTACAGGTGGCACCGTACTCCAAAAGTCTGGATGACCTCTCCCAGCGGTTTCATGTATATGTTAAACAGCATGGGGGGGGGGGGGGGCAAAATGGAACCCTGATGAACGCCACAGATCAATGGCAGGAGGTTCGAACAGGAGTTCCCCAACACCATCTTCTGGATACGGCCCTCCAGGAAGGACCATAGCCACTGTAAAACAGTGCCTCCCAGTCCCATCCCAACAGGACAACCCACGAGGATACCATGGTCAATGGTATCAAAAGGCGCTGAGAGATCCAGGAGCACTGACAGGGATGCACTCCCCCTGTCTTGCTCTCTGCATAGGTCATTCACTAAGGTGACCAAAGCCTGGCCTGATACCAGATTGAAATGGATCTAGATAATGCGTTTCATCCAGAAATCCCTAAAGCTGGGAGGCCACCACATACAAATTGTGCTCATTGTAGTTTGCATTTAAGTTTTGAGAGAATGTATTTATGTTAGTCTTGAACTACATGAGGTAGAATCTATGGAGGTTTGGCCTGGACTGATTGAGAAGCCGTGGTGGTCTGAATAAGTTTTTATTATTGTTGATTGGTGTTCATTGCCTTCTCCTTGCAATTTTCCATTAACCCAAGCTTTTGCAATATAAATATGTTTTTTTTTAAATTTCAGGACTATGTTTTTAGAGATAATATTGTCAGAAGTTGATGGAAATAATTTGTTAATCAGTGAAGAAATGGTCAAATTCCTTTCAAGCTGCTTTCAGGAAAAATGTCAGTCTGTACTAAAATTGGCTTCTACAGTGAATAATTACAATGAGGTAAGATTTTCAGGTGTTGTCATTTGATGCTAAAAAGGTGGTGCTGTGATACCTGGGAACAGGACCAAGAAGAATACAATCAAGAAAACCGATTTTCGCAAGCTTAGGAAATCATTGCATGAAATTCCATGTAGAAGGAAAAAGACACTTAGGAAGGATGGACTTACTTAAGGAATGAGTTGCAAAAAGCACAATCACAAATAATTTCATGGAAAAAGAAAATGGGAAACATCTGAAAAATCCAACATGGGTGTGCAGTAAACTCAAGGAGAAAATGCAAAGAAAAAGGAGTGTGCACATAGGATGGAGAGAGGGAAGCTCAAGTTTTCAGGAGTAGTATAAGGAAATCTAAAGTTAAAAATGAACTGTGACTAATGGTACATTTTTACTGTTGTGGGATAAGATACTAGAGCATGCCAATGAAGCTTGCCCCTTGACTGTTGGCTGTGTTGTACAGCTAGCTTTCTCTTCTTGGGGCTTCAACTGGTAATGCCCCTGTGTTTGCAATCAACTGAAGTTTGCTAACAAAGTAATTGGCATCTTGGTTTTAAAAATGTTGAAGGTGATATTCTCATGAAAATGCATTCAGATTTAGGCATGATTAATAATGGGGCATGAATTAAGATATGTTAGAAAATTAGAAACGTTCATGTTTCAGTAGGTATTTTGTTCGTAACTTGTATCCTCTTTTCTGTAGGAAGCTCTGGTCACAGTTCGGCTCCTTGATGTTCTTTGTGAAATCACATCCAATGATGGACAACTGAAATGTTTGCAGGCTTGCCCTGATTTGCTTGAAGCTGCTATCAGTAAGTAGGAAACATGCCCAGTGTATAAAAATATAATTACAGTACGATCTTTTATTTTCTTTCAATCTGTTTTTAATGATGGACTATTGTCCTACGAATGAATTCAATACTACTTTAGCACAACTAATTCAACATAGAAATAGCTTCAATATTCTAGCGTCCCTCTATCACGTACTTGGGGAAACTGAATGTGGAGAGGGTAAGAAGGTCATTGTCAAGGAACAGATATTTACATGCGTGGAAGGAATAAACCTTCAGTTGTTGGAAAATGCTATTGATGAGCAGAGAAAATATTTCCAGGAGAAAATGAAGAATCCAGGACGAAACACTTCCTCCTGATGAACTTTCTGTGAAACAGACGTCTTTCTACAGTATATTGACTATCTCACTAGCTTGTGAGCTGTTTCCTAGATCACTGTGTAATGCTTTTGTAAAGCTGTAATTTTGATTTAAGCTTGAAATCAGTATTTTGAAAGCACTCTTATTTTGTTATATTAGCTTAGATTGCATATGGTCCAAGGCATTGTTTGAACTTATTGCAACTTTCTTCTGTACTTCGTATTTTTTCTTATTAGCTCTCTCAGTAATGGGGGATTTTTCTGCAACTAGGAGAGCTTTGTGCTTGTAGTTTTTGAATAGGAGCATATATGACTGCTCATTGGAGGGAAGAATAATAGAAGCCAAGATGAAGTACTTTGGCCACATCATGAGAAGAAAGGAAAGCTTAGAGAAGTCAGTTATGCTGGGGAAAATGGAAGAGGGGCTGACCAAGGGCAAGATGGATGGATGGTATCCTTGAAGTGACTGGATTGACCTTGAAGGAGCTGAGGTGGCAACGGACGACAGGGAGCTTTGCCGTGGACTGGTACATGAAGTCACGAAGAGTCGGAAATGACTGAACGAATGAACAATAACAACAACATATATGTGTGTTCACCCACATACTTTCCTTCCACATGGAAATCTAGGAGTTTGTGAAAACACTGTGGGTGAGATCTTGCATCAAGAAGCCAGAATATAACAGCTATCCACATAGTTCCATGTTTTCCCCCTGGCCTGGCAGCTGCGAATCCCTGGAAAGGTCCACTGTTGCTGTTTCTGGTGGGGAAGAGGAGGAGCAGACATTTCAAATGATGAAGAAGCACCTGCTCCCATCTTGGAGAAGGAAGGACATTAAGCTGGGCTTACATAGTATGCCTTCCTTTCCCTTCCCCTCGGAAAATTAAACATGGACTATTGGGACCATATGCTAATACTTTTGATGCTGAAAACTTATACAATTTCCGCCTATTTCTATCAATAAATTGTAAAATCCACACAGCTTTATATATGCTCTGAATTAATTTAACTTCATATTTGTAGTGTTAATTAACAAGAAGATTGCATTTGTTTGTCATGATATTGATCTTAAGTGAACCAGTGAATTCAAGACTTGATTAAAAACAGAATAAGGTCCATTTTTGCATTAGACATTGCTACTTCTACTTTGATATCATGTAGCCAAAATTTAGCAGCAGATGTAATTTCTTTCTCTTGTTTTCTTCCTCAAAACAAGGTTCACGGGAAACATGCATTTTGTTTTGAAGGAAAATTGCACTCTTAGAAGGACCATTCTCCCTTTGTTTTAAGCAAGAAAACATGCTTGAGCTAATTTTTTTGAAACAGGCAAATTTCAGTGGAATTGGCAGCAGCACTAGAAATGTATGGACTTTTGTGGGGTTGGGAAGTCAGAATTAGGCTCCAAATATACAAAAGTGCCCAAAATGAATCAGAATATTATTTTCAGGAACAGTACCCACAGTACCGGGTGGCGTAATGGGTTAAACCCTTGTGCCGGGAGGACTGCTGACCGAAAGGTTGGTAGTTTGAATCCGGGGAGTGGGTGAGCTCCCACTCCCCGGATTCAGATGGGAGCTCACCCACTCCCCGGATTCAAACTACCAACCTTTCGGTCAGCAGTCCTCCCGGCACAAGGGTTTAACCCATTACGCCACCCGGTACTGTGGGTACTGTTCCTGAAAATAATATTCTGATTCATTTTGGGCACTTTTGTATATTTGGAGCCTAATTCTGACTTCCCAACCCCACAAAAGTCCATACATGGGTTAAACCCTTGTGCCGGGAGGACTGCTGACCGAAAGGTTGGTGGTTTGAATCCGGGGAGTGGGTGAGCTCCCATCTGTCAGCTCCAACTTCTCATGCGGGGACATGAGATAAGCCTCCCACAGGATTGGAAAACATCCGGGCATCCCCTGGGCAACATCCTTGCAGATGGCCAATTTTCTCACACCAGAAGCAATTTGCTGTTTCTCAAGTCGCTCCTGACACAACCCCCCCCCCCAGAAAACCATTTATTCTCAATTAGAGAGGTTACTTTTTCTTTTAAAACCTTGCTTTCTGTGCTACAACTAACATGGGCTACATTTATGCCCAATTCTTATTTATTTGTGAATAGTGTGCTGTTCAGTTAGACTCAGGTTAAAGAACCAATAACTTGCCAGCAAGGAAAGACGTAATATCAGAGCCAAATCCTTCTGGTTTATTGCTTTCCCCATAAACTAGAATAAGATTCCAGGGTTTGTTTCTATTTTGTGGTTCATGGGCTTATTTGGGTTTAACAACCTCAGAATTAGGTTTATATATACAAGTATATCACTATTTTTCTTTGCTTTTGCATTTCTCCAGGTTTTACAGCCCCTTCTCCAGCCCCCTCTCCACACACTAGTAGTAAAACCAAAGAGAAGCTATCAAGTGCCATGCACTAGGATTCTTTAGAATTCTTATTTATCATTTTATCTGAAGGCAGGTACTATATTTTGAGAAGTGTTTCAGTTTGTAAGTTATAATCAATGGAGATTTTGAACTGATAACTAATATTTTGTTTAATGCATGGGACAGGGGGTTTCTGTGGTGTACTCCTGGATCTTAAACACATTTTCTTGGAAAATTCCCTATAGTTGAGACCAGTGGTTGATCTTGTAATCTCTACTTTTGCAAAGTAGATTACTCACGTTATGCCTCTTTTCTATTTTGCCAAGACAGAGTATCCAAATTCTAATGGTTTTACTTTCAGTTGCAATAATAGTAATTTTTATTTAGTTGCAAAATCAAACTTAAATGCAAAATAAAATTAATTTACAATTAGATTGCCTGCAATGTTATCAATAAGACATTTTTTTCTTATATTTTAAAGCTATTTTGCGACTTACACATCTTTCTGGGAAGCAAACAACAAACATCTTCAGCACAACTCATTCTGCAAGAGGGCAGGAGCCGGTCTCTCATCCAGCTGTGGGTTTTAAATCCCATCTAATTCGTTTGATTGGAAATTTATGTTATATGAATAAGACTAACCAAGACAAGGTAAGGAAAGCTAAATAATGTCAGGAGTGTTCAAATCAATAGGAGCAATAGTACATCACTTTGTTGGGTTGCTGTGAGTTTTCTGGGCTGTACACCTCTTTGTTCTGCCCTGGGCAGAGCTAACCTGGAATATTATTTAAAACAATAAAAAGGGTTCTTTGGTTATGTCATGGAGCCCCTGGTGGCGCAGTGGGTTAAAGCACTGAGCTGCTGAGCTTGTTGATCGAAAGGTTTCAGGTTCGATTCTGGGGAGCGGCGTGAGCTTCTGCTGTCAGCTCTAGCTTCTGCCAACCTAGCAGTTTGAAACATGCAAATATGAGTAGATCAATAGGTACCGCTCCGGCGGGAAGGTAACGGCGCTCCATGCAGTCATGCCAACCACATGACCTTGGAGGTGTCTATGGACAACGTCGGCTCTTCAGCTTAGAAATGGAGATGAGCACCACACCCCAGGGTCAGACATGACTGGACTTTATGTCAGGGGACAACCATTACCTTTTTTTTGGTTATGTCAGTAGAAAAAGGGTGAACACAGAAACAGTAGGCCTCTGTGTGGAGAAGGTGGTGAAATGCTTTAATTTTTGATTTTTGTGCATAAAATAGCCTTTCTGCAATAATTATATAATGTAATAACTTTAAAAAACGTTTGTTCATTTGAAAGTCCTAGTAAAAATAAAGTTGGATTTAGCTGTATTCTGATTTTAAATATTTCTCAAATAATTGTTATTGAACCTTTACTAGGAGAGTGGGGGGCAGGGGAAAAGAGAGGGGAAAAGAAAAAAAATCCTGTTGCGTTTTGAATCTATGTTGATCATTTTCAAACACAATTAGTATGTTGTTACAAAATGATTGTTGAAGTCTTTATTTGCTTTCACTGTATCATACCATAAATAATCATGCCATCAAAATCTGAGGTTGCGACTTTCAAGATGTAGAAGTATGAGATTTTCCATTAATATCCAGTACAGGTCAAAAGTACAGGTCAAAATAATGCATTTCCGGCCCAGAGGAGGGTTCTTCCTCTGGACTAAAGCGAGTTCTTCCTCCAGACTAAAGAACAAGAGGTGTATATAATTCAGATCAGGTAGTCCAAGGCCACCTCTTTTTATTATCTTGGAGAATCTTAAATTTAATCCTTCTGTCTTCCCTTTCCTATATCTATGTTGACATGTTTTTTTTGGCCAATTTTTGAAAGAATGTTCATTTATTTTTGAAAGACTATTCATTTGCATTTTTTAAAAATAATTTTTTTTGAAGGGGGGGGGGGGAGGAATAATCTTTATTGTTAATATTCTTCCTAATAGTGAGAGACCAAGACTTTTCCAGTTATGTAAGTCATGTTTAATTTCTTTCCACTTCTTTTTATAATGATCTTGAAGTAAACTGGATTATATGAGTCTATGCTGCCATATAATCCAGTTCTAAGATGATAACCTGGATTTTATATGACAGTGTAAAAGGGGCCTCAGTTTCACAGCTGCTCCTCCCTATGAATCAGTGTTTGGAATTAACCCATTGGATGTGATACTTACTATTACCTCTGGCTTGTGTGGCATTTGCAGAAGTTGTCATGCTCCTACATGCTTCAGATAGATAGATTTGTATATTGTTTAGTCATCTGACCACATCAACAATAAAAGGCAAAAGACAAAAGATGCATGTTGCTCTAAATAATTTGTGGGTTAGGGTGGAGTTAGAAAATATGGCTCACATACTTTATTTAGTGGAGCTCAATACAGACTCCATATCTGATGAGTAACTATGAGACTTTTTTATTTCTTCTTTACACCTTTTGCTGAGGAAATCACCCACATAACATGGGCACCCTTTAAATTTGTTTTTAATATCTTAACTGAGTCTTGCCTTGATATTAGCAGCTATATTGCAAGCAAATTGTGTAATTTTGTAATCTTGCTAAAAGTTGGTGGTATCAGGTTATTTGAAATGTGTACACTATAATATGTGTAAGGAATAAAACCTGACGACTATGAAGCCATTTTCGGTTTAGTTACGTTACATTAGCACAAATGTAGACAATAGATTGATTTAGTATTCTTACAAGTATTATTTTTTTAATATGCCCTCTTATTCCCCCCTCCCCCAGTTACTAGGTTACTGGGTATCTTGAAAAAGCAAACACGCCTTGGTAACTTTGTCTTGTTGTTGTTCATTCGTTCAGTCGTCTCCGACTCTTCGTGACCTCATGGACCAGCCTACGCCAGAGCTCCCTGTCGGCCGTTACCACCCCCAGCTCCCTCAAGGTCAGTCCAGTCACTTCAAGGATGCCATCCATCCATCTTGCCCTTGGTCGGCCCCTCTTCCTTTTGCCTTCCACTTTCCCCAGCATAATTGTCTTCTCTAGGCTTTCCTGTCTCCTCATGATGTGGCCAAAGTACTTCAACTTTGTCTCTAGTATCTTTCCCTCCAGTGAGCAGTCGGGCTTTATTTCCTGGAGGATGGACTGGTTGGATCTTCTCGCAGTCCAAGGCACTCTCAGCACTTTCCTCCAACACCACAGCTCAAAAGCATCGATCTTCCTTCGCTCAGCCTTCCCTAAGGTCCAGCTCTCACATCCGTAGGTTACTACAGGGAATACCATGTCTTAAGGGAGCAATATATAATCTCCTGATAGGTTGCTTCATGTAGCATCTTGTTCTAAAGAGCCTGAGGCACCCTTTTTCTCTGCACTGCAGTGTTTTGTGCTGTAACATATGCTTACCTTGGTTGCTATATACTCCAATAATTATTGTAGTAAATGTGAGGCTTTCAGAAATATATAAATCACAAAATCAAGACACAGGTTTATACAAATGATAGTCCTGTTCAGTTTTAAAAGCCTGGTTAAAATGTATATATTACTCCAGTGAGATCTATGTATTTGAACCCTGTTATTGGGACAACTTTGAGAAGAAATGTACTAGATGTTACAGGGGTAGGTGACTGCGATAATGAAAGATAAGTAAGCATTCATCAGATAACTTAATGACAAGATTTGTGAAGAGAGTTTTGTGTGAATATTACAGAAACTGCATCTGCAATTTTTAAATTGCTGTATTATGAATGTTTCTTTTTTTTCTGTCTTGCCATTGCACTCCAAGCAGATGTTAGGTAATATAAAGTGGGAAGAAGAACTGTATTGAAGTAAAGCCTGTACTATTGAGTCTTGAAAGTTTAGGGGAAACATTTAAGTTGTCTAAAAATTCTTGTAATGGGGAGTACCTTGTAAATATTCTTTCTCTCCTAGTTCTGTCCTGTCCCAGAACCATGCATCAAGTGCTTCCTGTGATCATTAGCTTTGTGTTCAAGATGAGTGATTTGTAGTGGGAAGAATGTATAAACATTTCAAGCCACGTCAAAGATGCTATTGTTCATCAGTAGAAATACATTAATTTCAAGTGTGTAGAATGTGAATATTTTTTTCTTTCTGTGTGGTTTAGATGATATAATGGATGTTATACTGTGCTCAGATGAAGAAAAAAAATCTTGAGGTAGATTTTTTAAAAAGTGGGAAAATAGCCATATTAATCAGGGAACAAGATATTAGTAATGTTTAACTTGATTGGTTTGTAGATTTCCTAGTACAAAAATAAGATCCAATAAATTATTAGGATAATCCATTTATTTTAAATTTATTTTAAAAACGCTTCATTGTACTGTAGTAATAGCTAGCTACCCTCATTTATTTAATTACGGTTAGGCTGTATGATTTATAACATATACACAAACATGCACAGACATACCATATATACTCGAGTATAAGCCGACCTGAATTTAAGCCGAGGCACTTAATTTTACCACAAAAAACTGGGAAAACAGTATAAACTGAGGATGGGAAATGCAACAGATACTGGTAAATTTCAAAATAAATATAAATACCAATAGAATTATAATAATTGAGGCATCAGGAGGTTAAATGTTTTTGAATATTTACATAAAACTGTAATTTTTACATAAAACTTGCATACCCTTCCAATAAAAATAAATAGAGTAAAATAATAAATGTAATAATAACAATAATAAAGTAAAATAATAAATGTAATAATAATAATAATAATAATAATACATTTATTACATATTTATAACAGAGTAAAATAATAAATAACCTTGACTCAAGTATAAGCTGAGAGAGACTTTTTCAGCCCCCCAAAAGGTCTGAAAAACTAGGCTTATACTCAAGTATATACAGTATATGTGCAAATAAATCCCCCACTTCTCCCAGGAAAAAGGCCAGGTTCCAAACTGATCACAAGAACTCCAGCAAAACCCCTGAGTTTGGGCAACTAGCAACACTTAGGCCACCTTTCTTTTAATGTTGAAGGCTTGTGTGAGCAGCAGGTGACCATCAAGCTTCTCTCAAACCTTCCTATTGGTAATAAAGCAAAAAGCAATGAAAACAGATAATCACTTACATAAATAGAAAGGTAAAGAGAAAACAATGGGGGGGGGGGTTGTTAAAGAGAGGACTAATTTTGATTGCTCTTTGTCTGAACCATCCAAAATCTCCAAAGTGATCAAAAGGAGGCACGGACATGGGGACCACTTGGCTTATATAGCCTGGGTACTGCCCACTATCACACAGCGTACTCTCTTGGCCCCACACATGATTAACTCTTAATCAAGAGATTCAATGGCCTCCCATCACTATGCAACAAGGCCACTCAAAATAGGATGGGCAATTTGATGTAACTTGACTGATATGAAATGCATATAGATCACTGTTCATAGACTGTAACAGTTGAGCTACAAGTATCTCTTTTTTCTCTGCCCTTGTCTCATGCCCTCTTTTGGTAAAGTTATAGGAACATACAAGTTACTGAAGCAATTGAAACTGTAGTCCATCCATTTGCCTTTTCCTGTATGAAAGGTTACAGTTTAGCTGTCAAACAAGATATATTTTCAGCAGTGACACTGCAGATGGTTTTTTGTAGATCACTTGTGGAAACCGTAATCATAATTGCAATAGGATGTAGGGTGTGTCATTCTGGGAGACTGCCACTACT